AGGCTGTGGCCAGTGTTGGATTTGCCCAGTTTTGGCGGGATCGGTCTTAACGCCGTTGGTAGAGACAACGTGACCCAAGAAGGGAACCGAGCTCTTCAAGAAGCAGCATTTCGACGGGTTAAGTTTAAGACTGACGGCCTGGAGACGATTAAAAAGGTCTGGAGATTAGCAAGATGGGACTCCACCGTGGACCCGTGGACGATGACAACATCCAGGTTAACAAGACACGCGGAGGAGCACAAATTTCGTAAGACCGACGCCATCAGACCTTGAAAAGTCGCAGGCGCCTTCACCAACCGAAAGGGCATAGTCTCAAACTCATATAACCCCGATGGAATAGCAAAGGCAGTCTTTGGCCGATCTTCGGGCGCCATTTCCGCCTGCCAGTAACCAGACTGTAAATCCAGCGTCGAGAAACAGGCAGCCCCGGACAGCGCCTCCAAAATACTATCAATACGAGAGAGCGGGAAAGAATCTTTCACCGTGACAGCGTTCAGCTTACGGTAGTCGACACAAAGTCGTAATGAGCTATCCTTCTTCTTAACCAGAACGATAGGAGAGGCTCAAGGGGAAGACGACGGACGAATTACGTGTTTGGCCAGCATATCCTTAATGACCTCCTCTAACTTCTTCTGAAGCCTGCCTACTTTGGCTTGGCTGAGTTGTGCGAGACTCTGCTGTCAGTGTTGGAGACACGGCATTCTATCACAGACACCTTGCCCCTTCTAAAACCGGGAAATAATTTTGACCCGTGGCATACCCAGGCCAAAGTCCATTTGCCCTCCGTGGCAATGAAAGATCGTTTCCGTTATATCTGTCACCATCTATCCGCGGAGGCGTTATCCAAGGCTTCTTCCTTCGGCGTGAAGTTCATCGTTGACATCGACTCACTGCTTTCGTCTCTTCGGCGCATCATTGCTACTCTCAAACCTCCGGTTGTTGCTTATCGACAGTTTTCGTCTCGTCTGCAGCTTTCTGGCGAGATCGCCCGTGATTAGTTGGGCTGTCTTCGTCCTTTGGTATTCGCTGCATTCCCGGACTGCCTCTCTTCTATGACGGACGCAATTCTTGTCGCACACTTTCGCGCTGGCATTCTTGACGACCACCGGCGGCGTAAGCTGCTCAAGAAGCAATCCCTGGCCTCCGATGAACTTTTGTCTCTGGTCCAGGACTACGAGGACCGTTGCCCGAGTTTCAAACTGATTCCGTGGAGCCAGCTGACGAGATCCAATGTTTCTGACGCTCGCATCTTGTTGATCGTGTAGTTTGACGTCTGATTGGGCTGTAGTTATCCAAGTTTGACAACCGAGCGATTCTAGCTTGTGCCGAGAGATGCAGGGTCGTGTGGAGATCTAGTCTTTCCTCGGTACAACCTGTTGTTGCAAGCCCGGATTCATCGCACAATGTAGCGCGTCTGTCAAGTTTGGCAACAGAGTATTGGGCGAAGTTTGTTTATTGACTTTATGTGCAGGTTTGATGCAAACAGTGAATTGATCTCTGATCCGTGCAGGGAGACTTTCGTTGAACGCTACACGGGTTTCTGGATTTGACAGAGCCATAACGTTGAGACGTTTGGGGTGCAGTTTCTTACTGCGATTCGACAATTGGAGCTTAAAGCGGGCGTGGATAAGTACATGATCTGATCCAAATTTCGCACCTCCAAACGATCGA